AGTGGTTTCATTTTCTGAGATGAGCTGCTAGTTTTTTATGCAATTGCCATTGGATAAACCAGGGTGTCCCAACAACATCATACTTCCATGCCTGTTGCACAATACTCAAAAAAATATGAGTAGTCTATATACTAAGAAATTTAAATTTGGAAGTAGAAGGCTTCACATTAAAAGCTAAAGTAAGTAGAATGAGGTTATGATTAGAAGATGCATAGCTTAGATGTTGAACTCGAATGATTGGAAAATAATTCAAGAAAGTAGAGTTTCTCAAGTAACGATAAAGTCTTTGAAAAAGAAAACCTCTTCTCCATCTATAGGGTGATCCAGAATAGCCCAAATCAAAAAGTCCATCCCCCGTAATTGAGTTACAAAAACAATTTATAAGGGCAATATCACATCTACTAACCCTTTCCTTCTCAGATGGCTTCATAACTATGTTAAAATCCCCTCCCACAAACAAAATTTTAGTAACAGAATCACCCATAAGCTCTAATTTCAGCCAAAGCAAAAATTCATCCTACAAAAGAGAACAGGCATAGACAGAAGTGCCCCAATCATGAAAATTTTCCATCTTAAAATGTGTTAGAAAAATTGCTCCTCATCTTCAACAATGGATAATGTAACAGAGTATTTCCAAAAGACCCAAATTTTGTTATTCTTATTGCAGAAAGTCTGATAGCTTTTGAATGTATTCAAAATCTTGTTTTTATGAACATGCACAAAAGGCCCTAAAAGGGCAAAAATGAAGATTTTATGAACCCTAAAAAGATGTTTGAGTCTATTAAAGGAGGAAGGGTCTGCCACTCCCCAAATATGCCTATTCATAATATTAAACATAATGTCTTAAGCCAGCCATCCTAGAAGATCCAGAAGGGTTGCCTAATTGATCTCCATTAGAATAGTAGCTGCCTTCTTGTATAATGTTACTTGCATTAAGGTTTGAAAGTTCATTGTTTCTTTTAGCCTTCTTTCTAGAATGTTTTTGAAGTTGTTATTTATTCTCTAAAGCATTAGAAGTTGTATAAGGGTTGACTTCGGTAGAGGTGGAGGGATGAGAAAATCTTTCATCTGGCTACCTCTGCTTTTCCAAATTGTTATTAATAATAGGAGTGGTATTACTATGAGTATGAGAAAGCGAAATTTCATCAGGTATAGTAGGTAAATAAGGTTCAGTAACATCAATTTTCCCTTTAAGCAATGTTTTTTGAGCATACACATCAATAGAAGTATTAGGAAATGCATTTTCTTTAAATAAATCAACATTTTGCATGGTAGGGTTTTCCTCTTTATCAGGCTCAACATTAGGTGGTGTGGCTTGATGAATATTAGGATTATGATTTTCTGGGAGAGTAGAAGGTTGAATGCCAGTAGATGCTTTAAGGTGGGGATTCAATTTATAACAAAGGGAAGTATGATGCCCAAACATTGAGCAATGATTGCAATATGGGGAATGATGTTCAATTTCTACTTATTGCCAATAACCTTGATGTTGAGAACCAATCCATATCTCATTACAAATGGTTGAGTAATGTCCCTTTCAATAAGGACACAAGCTTGAGAAGGTCTAGAGAGAGTAAGAGTGGCACTATCCATTTCCAAAGGTTTACCAAAAGTAGCAGCCAAAGAAAAGAGAATCTCACGATTGAAAAGATGTAATTTGAGCCCAAGAAATCGAATCAAAATAGAACATATATATAATATATATATAATATAACATGAACTTATATATATTAACTGTACTATGATTTTCCTAAAATAAGTTTTACAGTTCAAATAAAGTCTTCTAACTTTTTTTTAAAAAAAAAATTTGTTACTTCCTCGACAAAGGCGCAAAAAGTTTGATGTGCGGGTTATTACGGTAGCCACAACCATAATATACTTTAGGATAGTTAATATTTTTTTAAATCTTTATAGCTGCCACTCCTAGCGATTTAAGGTATTATTTATCGATTTCACATATTTGCTAGGATGTTAACGCAACCATACGTATCACACAAGTAATATAGGTCTCTAATGGAGTTCTAAGTATCGATCCCACAGGGAAGTTTGGAATTCTTATAATATTAACTCAAAGAAACTCTAAACTAAACTGCAGAAAACTTAACTAGGAATGCGGGTCAAATTTTGTGTTTTTAAACTAAGTGAATTATATATACTACTCTTATCTCTAAACTTAAAGTAAAATTTAATATCACTAAATTAAGTTTTATGAAGAATAGTTCAAATTTTAGAAAGTATCATTCCATTTGTAATGAGATTATAATCAGTGAATAATTTAAATTTTTAAAAATTATATTATATCAAATAAAATCATACATATTATTTACCCTCTTACAAGTGCATAAAGAGCATTGACTGATCCAGAGTCAAGTTTTTAAATCCTTAGTTAGGCTGGGAATATTCTAGCTCTCACTCTAGAGTTCCCATTATCCCTCCGCATTGAGGCTATCATCTAGCAATAGGTTCTCAAATTCTGGATCAAATTAGAGGTTATAGCCTTTCACTCTAGAATCACCAATTTAAGACCAACAAAACTTATTTCCATATTTATTTGCACTTAACCACATGAACCGCGTTCTTATCCATGAGATCAAATGTGATTTTTACTTGGTTGAGGAAAGCATAGCTCCTTCGAATTATTATGTTTCACAAAAAATTTTAACTTAACAATTGATCAAATTGATTAAGTAAATGAAGTTTGAAGTTTGAATCATCACAATTATGAAATTAAAACATTTCTAAACAATTTCAATTCTTCACATGATTATTTCTCATTGCAGGGAGAAAGAAAAAGCAAACTACTCAGATCTCATTTGGAAGATACAATAAAACATGGATTTAAATATAAAAATAAGTTTACATAACAAAAAAAAGTAAAAGAAGTAAAGTACAAACTACTTATCTCAATCTCTTCCCCAAGAAAATCGTTTGAAGTTCCTTTGAATCACTTTCTCTCTTTACAATGTCACTCAATTATCTTTTAGAAATGTAATGAAGAAGAAATTTCTTACTTCTCCTCTCCTCTTACAACTCTAAGATGCAATCTTCTCTGTCACTTTTTTCATTTACTCTCCTCTTCTCCTCATTTTGCCTTTGCCTTTTCTGTAATAAAATCACAATTATATAACATACGACCGAATTTCCTAGATTCACTTCTAGCACCATTTCAAAATTCATCCAAATTCAATGAATTTGAGGAAGAAATCATTCTTGGCACCTAGGAACCACTCTTTTGTAAACTAGCGCATAGGTGCCAAGTAATCTTTTACAAAGGGCCTCTTTTTGAATCCAAATTCCTTCTTTTTTGCTTCTTTTAGCTCTAATTGCCCCAACTTATTGTGTCTGCAACAAAAACATATAAATACCTTCCATTAAAGCACATATCACTAAAAATAGACATTAAATGTTTATACAAAAGTATCATATTTTTAGACATGTTAATATGCATATGTGATAGACACGAGCTTTGTATTATGTGGGTTAAAGACAACCATGAACACTTTTTTTACAATGTCTACTTTCTTCTTGTAGTGACGGATTTATTGGTTGGTATACTAAAGTCACTGAGACCTCACACCTGTATAAATAGTAATTTCTTACTTCTTTTATTAATTTCTACTTGTTTAATTAGTATAGTTCTTGTTTATTTCTGTTCCTAGTCTGTTTGACATTGATTTTTTCGATTTTTTGCGTTATTTGTAAATGTTTTTCTTTTCATTTGCATTTTATTTGTTTTTTCTTTGGTGGGTTTGAGATGATCAAGATGAGACAGTTGACCTTATGAGTTTTTGGTCTGTTAGTCGTTGTTAGTTGGTGTCACAAGCGAAATCCTAATGAAAGCAACCAAGTTCCTCTCTTCTTTTCGACGATATGGTTTTTGAGGATCTTTAAGATGGTTTTTTTTTGTGATATACATATATGACATACACGAGCTTGGTTTTACGTGAGTTAAAGATAACCAAAAACCTTATTTTTTACAAGGTCTGTTGTCTTCTTGTAGTAACAAAATCGTTGGTTAGTATAATGAGTTATGTGATACCTCATGTTTGCAAAAACTATAATTTGTTAGTTCTTTTAGCAATTTCAAATTGTGTTATGATTAATTGATTGTTTTTTACAACATTCAGAAAAAAATGAGTTTCAGGATTTCATGGACCTCCCGATGATTGCTTTTCTACTGCGGACTTCAAACTTCCTTATTTACGTCACGTCAGGTGCATAGCCACGAGATAAAGTTTTACAGGTTTCTACGGTGGGCAGACAGTCTGAAGAAGCTTGAATTCTTCCGGTGGTCATACAGTGCGACATATTCCATTGTTGACATTGATCGAGAATGCCTAGGATCTCTCGAAAACGGTGTAGCTCGTGACATATGCCGTATGTATTTTAAAATCATGCCTAGGATCTCTCGAAAACGGTGTAGCTCGTGATATATGCCGTATGTATTTTAAAATTAATATTATCATATTACTAATTGTAATTTTAATAGTTTTTTTTGTTTTTTTAACAATATTGATATTAACTATTAAGTGAGGTGCTTATCTAGATTTTTGTATTGTTACAAAATGAATTTTTACTTCTGAAGTATTAAATATATGATTACAAAAATTCTATTACAGAAAATATTACTGTCATGGGCAGAATAATCATTTGTTTAGAAATAACTGCCGCACAACTGTTCTAAAATCGCAGAAACAAACAGCTAGTCAGCTTATCTACAGTAATTTCCCAGCAGCAGCTTTCTGGAGTCTTATTGATAAGTTGCAGCTGCCTCAAATAAACCCATAGTCACTTCGACATTAAATTTGAGTAACATAATTCTAATTTATATAAGAATGTCGATAAAAATATTCTAATGATGACTTTTAAATTTTTATAGTCCGTCTCATAATATAAAATAAAAAGCAATTTATACATTAGAAAAAAAGAAACAATGCCTTACGGCGAAGGAGGCCAAATATGATAATCCCGCTACCCAACTGCTTCTAAAACAAGCTTCACACAAATAATTACTGAGTAGGAGAAGGGTAAATACGTAAAAATAGAAAGCTCTCCTCTCATCAGTTGATCGGCGCGGTCCTCGACTATATGCCATCGGTCGTCTCTCTCAACTCGCGTCGAAGCACTCTCTCCTCTCTCTCTCTCCCCTCCGAAACTGTTCCGCGCCATTTTCGTCTTTTCTTCTGGTCTTCATCCCCTTCCTCAATTATTCGAAACAATAGATATTCTTGAAACTCTAACCCTAATTCCACTTCGCCTTGCTCTCACTTACCTGCTTGATCGGCGACGCCGCATCTGGGCTTACTGATCGATGGAATGCCGCCAGGGCATCGGTTTAGAGAAAGCCTGCCGCATCTCCAACACCATACACTCGGAGATCGCTCCCTCCCTCTCTCTTCCTTGGTTACCTGTGTATCTTGGCGCCGCGGATCCAGCTCTTGGGCTCTTCGAGGATGTCTCTGGACGTGGTGTCGATGGAGACCGGTCGGAGGTTTTAGCGCAGGCTGAGAAGATCGTGAGCTTGCTCAGGGATTGTGATGTCAGCTATTTGTAAGTTTTCTCTTAGCTCGGATTTGATCGGATTTGGGTGCTGTTGCTTTGGAGGTGCCCGGGCCTTCGTTTGTCTCTAATTGATTATTTGCTTTAGAAATTTAAACAAGGGGGCGAAGAATTCACCGTGCAGCTCGGTTGAGGTTTCCAGCCTCTATGATGAGGTCATCAAGCGGTACCCATCAGCGTTTGAGTGCTCTACTACAGGTAAATTATACTCAGTTGAAGTTTAGTGGTATGTTTTTATCATTATTCATCATATATGTCCATGCATAGGTCAGTTTATGCGGTGTTTGGGTTCATTTAGTTGTTATTCTGAAATTCTATCATCTATTCCTAGTTCATGTGTTGGTAATCTTTTTTATTGGTTCTCAGTTGTAAAATCTGTGATTGAACTGACACCATAAACTTAATTGAGTAACTCTAATTTAGATAGCAAAAATGCAGAATGTTGTGGTGCAATTTTCTAGTTGGAAGTTGTACAAGCAATAACTGAGTGGTTTGAACCTGCATGTAGTTTCTGGATGTGTTCATGTGCTTGCTATTGAGCATTTTATTTATTATATCTTATAGGAGATTTTTATTGCTAACTACTTCTATATATTTCTGCATCCTTACCTTACGTTATGCTGTTCAAGCTTCTCAGGTCCTTTCCAGACAGAGCATCATCAACATGAAGTATTAGAAAAGAAACCTTTTATGAAAAATATATCTAGTACAGGCCATGGGCATTTAGAAAATGGTGCCCCTTTTAGTAATCACATAGGAAGCAATTTAGTTCATGTGAGTATATTTTTTTAACATTTGTGTGCTAATCTCTTTTCTTTTTTATAATCTTACATTTTATTGTATAATTTTACATCGACTAATATATTCTTCAGGAACCTTTAACTTCTGCTGATTCAAGCAAACCCAAAATTAAGAAGAAAGAAAGTTATTCCAAATCATTGTCATCAGGACCTGGTCCTCCTAATCTCGAAGGTTGCCATTTTTTGAATTTTTTCACGTGACTATCTTTTTTTTATTTATGGTAAAATTTCCTACATTTTGTCTATAGCTATGCTTGGTACCTTCTGTGAGATGTTGGAAGACTTTTGTGGGAAAGCAGAAGTTCTTGATGATATAGGAGGGGAAGGTGGATCATCAATTCCGCTCGTGGACATAACAAATCTTATAAATGAGATAACATCTGTTTCTGCAAAGAAAATCTTGCATTTGGTTCCTCCTGAAACTCTTGTAAGAGTCATAAATGTTCTTGATCAGCAGATTCAATGTGGACAAGGTTTTTCTATTAACGAGAATGAAAATGTAAGTATGATATATGCCAATTTTTAATGATAATGGTATTTAATTTGATTAGTCATATTCTTGGTTCCATGAAACTGTCACCTCCTGCTATTACTAGCTAAATTTGCCATACTGTATTTGCTTTCAATACTGGAATAACTACAGCTGATTATTTATCAGAATTGTTTGGGCTTTGTTTCGAATCTCTTGTATTGTACGTACACGTCATGTTTAGTTTGCATGATGCTCAATTTAAACAATGTGCCAAACTACTAAGGGATGAAGTAAGGCGTTTAGAGTCTTTAAAGGGTTGAAGTGTAATTCAATGTAGGGTAACTACAACTGGTGCCTACGAGGTTAGTTAGCTTAACTCATAAATGAAACTATTTAATATGTAGCACATTTTAAACCCTCTTTTGAAAATAGTGGGTTGATGACTCACATTTCAAGCATGTTTGGAATAAAGACCGTACTTGTTAATTATTAAACCCATTTTGCATTCTGGAGAGAGAGCACCGAGGAATAGAGCTGTTTTAGGGAGGGTTGCCTATAGTGTGGATTTGATGAGGTGGACACGAAAGGGGTGAAGGCTGAGAGACATACAAGCTGAAAAGGATGGACTATGGAGGGAATTCTTTGAAGCCAACTATTTTTTGAAGGGGGCTATAAAATAATAAGGCAAGGAAGAGAAAAGGATGAGGTGATTATAGATGGGAAGTGGGAGATTCAGGGAAGGTTACCATTGCAGCTATTTTGTTGAAGGAGGAAAAACTTCAGGCTTAGTGATAGTGTCCTCATCAGATCTTCTCAACACCTTGTGCTCCTCTAAAAGAAAACATGTCAATGGAAGCTAGTTTATAATCTTTGATAGGGAGAGCCTTTAGTTTTGAGCAATTATGGCATTGAATTGGAGTGCTGGGGGTGCATTTTTTTCTTGAAATTGTCATTAGAGACTAAAATGCAGATCTTTTGTGTTTATGTAGACGTTAGAGTGGTAAAGTTTGTCGATCTATAGGCCTAAAAATCTTCTTCTATCAATGCGTAGCCTGATTACTTTATGGTCACCTTAGTATAATGCCTAAACAACAAAAATCTTAACATCTTATGTGCAACTACATTAATGCCTTCGTAAGGTCACAATCATTTGAGTGTCATGGAATACCTTCTTTTTCTAGAGTTGATACTAACTTTACCCGATCATTTTAGTGGAAAGTTTGTTTGAAGCTCACTATTTATGGACAAGTCATCACAGCTTTATGTCAATCAACTTTTAAATTTTATTAATCCTTATTTGTTATTATTATTGTTAAACATATTTTGCTCAAATCTTTTTGAACAACATTTATTCATTATATCTTGTTCTCCTCTTTTTCTTGTTAACTCTTTGACACTAAACATTTGTACTCATTGAATGGGTGCATTTTCTATGATTTGTTGTGCACGTCCTAATTATCTAAGTTTATATTCTGCTATTTTATCTTCAACATATGTTGTCTCACCATCTCTATATAATCATTCATTAATGTCTTTTCTAGTTTTTTCATACATTTATTTTACATTTTCATTTCCTACATGATTAACCTAAATACCAATGACTTCTTACTCCACAATACTTGGGATTTATTTAACATAGCTAGCTTCATTGTAGCTTTAAGAAACACTTTCTAAAGGTTCCTGATTCCTAAAGTAAGTTTACTACTTTTGTTTATAGCCATTCGCTGAAAGCTATACCATGGAAAGGTTAGATAACGTCTCTATTATATCAATAGAAAGTCGTGAGTAAGATCAAGCAATACTTTTAATTTTGCTAGACAGCTTTTGGAAAGAATTTAAAAGAGCAGTCATGTGTTTAAACCTACTGTCTGATGAAAATGAAGTTAAATTCATCATTCCTTTTGATTACCATTCTTATTTGCTCATTTTGCTATCATATACTCAAAAATGGTTTCCCATGAAGGTTTTCAATTGACAAAATCATAATTCTGTGGATTCAAGCAACGTTTGAACTAATTAATTAATTGTGTAAAGGGATCCTGATCTTATGTAGGCTGTCATTCCGATTTATTCAAGTGTTGGTTAAATAAATTATAATTATCCTAATCTAGCATATTCAAAAAAATGATGTTTTTCAGATTATTCCAACCAATGAATAGTTTTCAAGCACATTATTACTATAGCAAATGCAAATTAAAGTTGTTGAAATTGTTTTTAAATAAAGAGCAGTTGTTTTAAATAAAAAATTACAAAATTTAAACATTTTTCTTAGGTGCTACTTTCTTTGCATGCTAAAATCGATTTATCCGCAAAATTATTGGCATAATTCTTTTTTGCATGAATCATAGTGAATTCTTTGTTTGCATACTTTTTTTTCTTATATTTTTATTGAACTTTTTTATTTAAAAGCATCTTTATCATTAGTAATATGTTCATGATAAGAGCAATTAAACATTTGATAGATTGTTTCAGACCGTGGTATGAAGGGAAAAATGGACATTGTTATGGAATGAGATCTGTGTTTTGAAGTTTTCTGGCAGAATAGAAAATTTGGTCTCAGCAGGACCATATCCCTTTTTATTTGCTGTAGTGTGTATATAATGATGTGCCTTACTAGTTACTAATGATGCTCAAACATGCTTGCTTATGAAGCTCTGCTCTGATTGTGTTTTTCACTGTATTCATTTTAGCTTGACGTCAGCTGCGAGCTGCTCTTTGACATTGTTAATTCTATGACTAATGTGTGCTGTCATGTTTAAGTCCTCCACAGAAGTTTTACCAATCGTATTGCATGCTCTAGAGTCCACTCATGCCGTTCTTGTAATTATGACCCAACAAGATATGCCAAAGCAGCTATACAAAGAAGAGGTATGTTGTGACTGCTCTGCTTGGATGGTTTTAGTTAATGTGAACATGTTATATTGGAGTTTTTTTTTTATTTGTGTTCAATTAAATTTTGGAACCAATTGACATTTTATGATTAACTAATGTAATTTGAGATACTGCTTTAAAAATGATCTAATTTTAATTTCAGATCATTGAGCGGATTGTTGACTTCTCAAGATACCACATGATGGAGGTCATGGCTGCCTACAACCCATTTTACCACACCCCTCAAGAACAAAATGAAAATGGTGAATTTGACTGTAAGTTCAGCAAAGTTAATTTACATTAATGTTTATCATCATCTAGCTTACTTAAAATATACTGATTGGTTTCATGCGGAACTAATGCCTTAAGTGGTTTACACAAATAGCTTATCTCCTGTTCAAATATTTATTCTAAATTCCTACGTTTTTTATCCATTTTTTTCGAATAATCACCTTCAGTAGCCATATACATCCTGTTTGGGGTTTGTCTCACTTCTTCATGAATCCAATTAGTTTAGATAAATTTTTTTGTACAATTTCTAGGCATTATTGCCTTGATGTTTTAGATTCAACTTATTTTAAGAAAGATAGAGGTAAACCTAAAAAGACTTGGGCATATTGTATAAAAAATGATCTTAATTTATTAGAATTAAATGAAAATATGACACTCAATAGGACCCAAAGGAGAAAAATGATTCTTGTAGCCGACCCCACTTAGTGGGATAAAGGCTTGCCGTTGTTATTGTACTGCCGTTGATGCTTTCCTATTTTTGCAATTGCATTCATAGTAGTCATTTCTTCTTACTTCATCGGTTTATTTTTTATCTTAATTTATTAGAATTAAATGAAAATATGACACTCAATAGGACCCAAAGGAGAAAAATGATTCTTGTAGCCGACCCCACTTAGTGGGATAAAAGCTTGCCGTTGTTATTGTACTGCCGTTGATGATTTCCTATTTTTGCAATTGCATTCATAGTAGTCATTTCTTCTTACTTCATCGGTTTATTTTTTGTTCTCCGTTGTAGTTGTCGTAATCACCAAAGAATTTTTTTTCCTATAACCTTATATTTAATGGGTGTCTTCTCTTGCGCTCAGCTATTATGTCCTTCTTAGTTTTACCATTCATCCGTTATAAGTTTCTCAAATTTTTGTGTCACTTTAATTGCTGGTAGCATGTATGTTATTGAAGCTCATATCCATCCAACATCTTATTATATCGATATTTTATATAATTTTTTTCTTTCAGGTTTTTGTTATTCTTTTTTGAAATTGATCCCTAGGGCACCGTTCCATTTTTTCAAATGATATTTTTCTAATGCATTGTTAAAACACCAAACATTTGTGTTGGAGTTTGAAAGCATTACTCCAAGTTTCAGTTTTAATTAAATTATTTTCTCGTATTTTAATTAAAATTTAATTTGTGTTTAGGCGATGAAGTTGAAGATGATGATGCTGATAATGGCTCTGTAGGCAGAAAACGACGCAACGTTCGGATTACAAATGTAAAGAAGTCTACTGTAAACAAGTGAGCCGGTGGATTTCACTTTATGTTTTGACTGCTCCATAATTTTCTAATTTGTAGCTGTCATCTTCACGACAATACATTTCTATTTTTCTTTATCTAAATACATGTGATTTTTCCCAACCTTTTTATTTCCTTTTGTGACAGGGTTTCTACACTAGTTAATTCTGTTGTTCAAAAGCTATGTTCTATATTAGACTATATTAAGGATCTTTTGTCAGCTGTGCGGCTGTCAGATAGCTGCATTTTTCAGCTATTGAAAGCAAGCATTTCTACTTTCTTGGTTGACAATATACAGCTCTTGCAGTTGAAGTCTATTAATTTACTTTGTGGGGTAATATGCTCTCTGGTGCTCTAGCTGTTTTTCATGGAGTACGATTTACTTTACTGTCAATCTCTTAGATTCTATATATTCTTCTTGTTTTTACTTTGGAGCAGGTTTTTGCTTCATACCCAGAGCAAAGAGATTTCTTGTTAGATGAGATACTGCACCTCTTTCCAAAATTGCAATTTTCAAAGCGTTCTCTGAGAGCCTACCATTTACCAGATGTGGAGCAGAAGCAGATTCAGATGGTGACAGCTTTGCTGATCCACTTGGCACAATTTGGTTCCAATCTTCCGGATGCTGTAAAGACTGCATCAACTATGGATGCCATTTTGAATTCTTCAGTTGATGCAGCTTGCCCATCTAAATGTCGTGATGTTGCACAATTGGTGTCAATTGCTTTATGGACCAAGATTGTTGAAAGGTGTACTAATACTAAAGCCCAGGATTTATCAGAATCAAAAACTATTTTGGAAAACCTTGTGACAGACCTGTTGACAACCTTAAATTTGCCAGAGTACCCAGCTGCTGCTTTTATCTTACAGGTGATGGTTTTTGATCTAGACATAATGTTCTCAACTTTGATATGCAATTAATGATGAAATATGTGCAGGTTCTCTGTGTTGTTTTGCTCCAAAATGCTGGGCTTAAGTCGAAAGATGTCTCAGCTCGATGCATTGCAATTGATGTTCTCGGAGCAATTGCAGCCAGACTAAAACGTGATTCTGCAAATTGCAGAGGAGAGATGTTGTGGATTCTGCAGGAGTTGCCTGAGGGGGAGGCTGAGGCATGTAGTAAATTAAAAGATTCATGTTGCATTTGTTTTTGTGGAAAAGGTGTAAACATGAATTGTCAAGTTTGTCATAGATGGTTTCATGAGGATTGCTTAGGAGTCTCTGTACAAGAGAAGTTGGTCCGTGATTGGTCGTGTCATGTCTGTCTTTGCAAAAAGCAGCTTAGTGTCTTGAAATCATACTGCCAGCCCCAAAGTAAGGAAAGCATTAAATCTGCTAAAGGTGCTGCGAAACACTCTTCCAAAGAGTCCGATTTAGTAACAAAATTTGAGATCCTTCAGCAAATTCTCCTGAACTATCTCGACGAGACCGGTCAACAAGATGATGCAAATTTGCTTACTCGTTGGTTGGTTAACTTTCTGTTTTTGCTTGATGCAATTTAACATTTTGAAAGTATTAAATTGATAAATTTTTTTGCAGGTTCTATCTGTCCCTATGGCACAAGGATAACCCTGTATCTCCAGAAAAGGTCATTTACCTTTTTGCCAGATTAAAATCAACAGCAATTTTGGGGAAATCAGAAGTTACGCTGGCACTGTCAAGAGATTGGGCTAAAAGGATTTGCTTAGCATTGGGGCAAAACCTTTCCTTTTCTAGAGGTTTTGATAAAATTTTCACGCATCTTCTGGTAAATACTCATCTTTTTCAATTTTTTTTTTTAAATGTGCGATAATATTTTTTTCACACATAGCAAACACACTGACACTAACAAAGCAGTTTCTTAAATGTGCGAAAATATTTTTTTCACACATAGCAAACACACCGACACTAACAAAGCAGTACAGTGAGTAGACTAGGAGAGAGATAGAGGTAAGGGAAGGGAAGAAAGTGAGAAGAAGACGGAGATAGGCTTGGCAAGGTTTGGTTAGGTCGTTAGCAGAGTTTTTGACAGAAAAGACCTGTCACACCCACTTAGGGCATACGCAAGAGTAGCAACAAGAAGAGGGAAGTTCCCAAGGAGTCTTCTAGCTAGTGTCAGTGTGTGTCTCAGGACTCTGATAGGTAGTTGACTCTACCGAAAAAGACCCCAGTCAGATATTCTTCTTCTAAGAGGTCAGTGACTAAGGGGTATTAAAGGAAGGGAAAGTCACAAGCCCAAACAGGCTGGGCGGATCCCGGGCAACGGAAAGGACTCGATATCTTTGATGCTGCAGCTACCTTCCCGCCGTTGGCTCCAACTAAGCTCTAACCTCCAAGGCTCGCTCGGCTCTGAAGTTCAGGCTTGGGGCGCTTGACAAGTTTTCGCGAGGAGGGACTTGAGTGAGGCGCTAATCACATGTTTAGGGCCCAAGAGGCATACCATTAGGGACCATGCCGCCGATAAACTGCCATCAATAGCTAGCAAGGGGAATACAGGGGGGTAAGAAATTCGTGCTGAAAAGAGAAAATAAAGAAGTACTCTGATTTCATTTTGAATTTTCGAACTAGAACTAGCATATGATCTTTTGTGAGAATAGAAATGAAAACGCTACGCGCCTTGGAAAGCATGATTCAAGATCTTCTATCGCACCGATATCACATGGAACCGATGAACATTGCTTTCGTCTCGCGAGAGTTCTGTAAAAAGAATCGACTGCAATTTTTCGTAAGAAAACAGGATCCGGGGTTGGCGTGCATTCCCGTCCCATCCCACAAACACAAAGATGAGTTGTTGTTGGCTCTATCTATATTCCTTTCTGGAGTCGCACAACTTTCATTTTGTTCTTTTGATTTTGAAAGATGAAATTCAGCAAATTTGAGGCGCTAGAGGTGCGTCAGCAAGAATTTTTTGAGATTGTCTCAAAACTCTCGATCGAGAGACGTTCTTTCCGTAGCAAAGATCTGCCCGTAGGCGAGTTCCGTGGCCGACACGTGCGGGAGCTTCTCGCGAACTAGGTCGGGGAATCCTCTCGGCCGGCAAGCCTTAAGAAACCGTTTTCTTTCTCTGCCTAGGAAATTCTCTTTAGACCACTTGTCATCTTCAAGATTCTGAATCCTAAGCAACAAAAGTGAAGAACTATTGAAGAGTGCATCAGCAGGATTCGGTTGTGGTTTTCCGTCACGTCAGGAGTCAGTAATACGTTTCGGTAGTCATCGATCTTGACAGAAGACTCAATCCTCCTCTTTGATCCGGAAAGCAGTTTTTGAATCCAAGAGTCATCCTTTTCAATAAAAGGACCCCGAGGTACGTGTGAACCAAAAAAACCCAAATCTGCTGCTTAGGGTTGAAGCCTTTTTTTCCCCTAAGAGCTAATAGATAGGGTTCCTAGTGCCTCGGTGACTAGCGTTGAAAAAGCAGCAAATAGACTTGAAGAAGTGAAAGATAAGGTCTGTGGGACAACAACACCGGTCAATCTCTACAGAACAGAAGATTGCAAAGACAAGGTGCGTCAGCAATTGGCCTTGGATGCAAAAGATCGAGAAGAAAGAGGCTGATCAAGAATTCTGTTGAGGTGTCTATCAGGTGATGAAGCGATGGAGGTCATGCACCAACTGGCATCTTGGCGGAGCACCAAGGAGGGCGAAAGCTGTTTCCGTATTTGCTGCAAGAATCTCATAGAATGAAGCAGATAGCTAAAGAATTTGTTGAGATATTCTCTTTTCTCTTCTCAATCACTCTTGCTTTCAGATCATCGCTCTTGCATTCAGCTTGAACTGATCATGATCTTTCTCTTTCCTTTTTTCTGCTTAGTCTTTGAGTCAGCGTATATAAGCAGCTGTTTAGTTGAGAAGCAATTCTTTAGTGCTAAACGCCCCTCAGTGTAAATGGGGGTGGAGGTTGGTTGAAGAAGATGATGTTACATTACACGGGGTTCAGAACCAGCCGTCGAAGTGAATGAATTCGAAAGAACGAAGAAGTAAGGTAAGGAAATGAGACGACTCTTTCTTTCACTCTTTCATAAGCAGATCTTCCCCGGAACACCAATAACGAGTTTTTTTTTATTCCTCTCGTATATTGTCGTCACGCCCTTAATGATAGGTTTTGAAAAAGACTTTTCATGTCATTACCATTTAGGTCTGATTCGGATCCCTCTGTTGTTTCCCTTTCCTCCCGAACCTTTTCCTCGAAATGAGAAAGAAGATGGTACACTCGAATTGTCTTTTTTCAGTGCTTCTTGCTTGCCAAAGATCCAACTTCTACAATTGGTAGGTCACCGGGTTCTTCAAATCAGTCGTGTTTTCCGTGGTTTTCCCATGTTACAACTTTCGTACCAATTCGATCGATCCGGAATGGATCGGTTAAACATTCCATTAGGGAGCCCAGTCTTGACTCTTCTGTGTGGTATTCATTCTCGTTCGGCTCTTGGAATCACATCCAGCAGTGGTTGGAACAGCTCGCAAAATCCAACCACTTCACCTACTTCATTGCCCCCAACCGTGTCCCGTACCTCTATTGAAACAGAATGGTTTCATGTTCTTTCATCGATTGGTTATTCCTCCCCGTTCGTATCTCCTTATCCCATTTTGGTCTCTATTAGTTCACAAGATTGAAGGGCCAAGTCATTGAAAAGCCTAGATTCAATTGTTTTCCAAGAATGTTGAGCCGGGCCCGGGTATGTCAGTGAAGTTCAGCCATGTATCTGGGAGGAAGCTTTCAGTTCTTTGCGCTTGGTGTAGCAGCTAGATTTCGATTCATCCTTTTGGTTTCATACAGAATTGGACGTTGAACCCATTTCATATGATGGGAGTTGCTGGAGTCTTAGGCGCTGCTATGTGCTATTCATGGCGCCACCGTAGAAACAAACCTTCTTCGAAGATGGTGACGGTGCAAAGAAATTCCGTGCTTTTCACTTTACACCCAACGCAAGCAGACTTCTTTCATGGTCACTGCTAACCGCTTTGAGTCAAAAATCTTTGGGGTTGGTTTGGTTACATTTCTTTATGCTCTTTTTGCCGGTAACCGGTTTATGGATGAGTGCTATTGGGTTAGTCGGTCTGGCTCTGAACCTACGTGCCTATGACTTCGTTTCCCAAGAAATCCGTGCAGCGGAAGATCCTGAATTTGCAACTTTCTACACCTCTCTGAAACGAAGGTCTTCGTGCTTGGATGGCGGCTCAGGATCAGCCTCATGAAAACCTTCTATTCCCTGAGGAGGTTCTACCCCGCGGAAACGCTCTTGAATTTCACTTTCACCTTAGCCGGTCGTGACCAAGAAAGCACCGGTTTCGCTTGGTGGGCCGGGAATGCCAGACTTCTCAATTTGTCCGGTCAACTACTTGGGGCTCACGTAGCTCATGCCGGATTCATCGTATTCTGGGCCGGAGCAATGAACCTGTCTATGGCGTTGAATGTTGGCCTTTAAAAGAGAAGCATAATAATAAGTTAAGTGTTGCCGAGATGAGAATGATTAGGTGGATGAGTGGCTTTACACTTAGAGACAAAATGCGGAATGAATATATTCGTGATAGGGTTGGTGTAGCTCCTGTGACAGACAAAATTAGAGAAAGTCGTCTTAGATGGTTTGGTCATATTAAACGTCGACCATTAGATGATCCGATTAGGAGAGTAGATGTTTTAAATTCGACTTGTGTTAAGAAAGGCAGAGGTAGACCTAGGAAGACTTGGGCTTATTGTATTAAAAATGATCTTAATTTACTAGAACTAAATGAAAATATGACACTAAATAGGATGCAATGGAGAAAAAGGATTCATGTAGCCGACCCCACGTAGTGGGATTAAGGCTTTGTTGTTGTTGTTGTTGTTGTTGTATAGAACTGCTATTCTGTTACTTGATGTTTGATGTATGTATTGCTTTTATCGGAATAATGAAAAAACTAGCCTTTTTGTTTGTTGAAAAAATGATTCTCAGGCAAGTTTGAGGGAAGGCTCTTCTATACTAAGGGCAAAAGCATTACGTGCGGTGAGACTGCTTTCTAGATTATTTTTTGTTTTACTGATTTGATCTAAAATTTTATCAAATTTATTTTGCCTACTTCACCTTTTTTGCACAGGTTAGCTCTATAGTAGAAGCTGATCCAGAAGTTTTGTATGATGAACGAGTCCAAACTGCCGTTGAGGGAAGGTTTTGTGATTCTGCAATTTCTGTTCGTGAGGCTGCTCTTGAACTTGTTGGTAGGTATATTGCATCTCATCCAGAGGTGGGCTTGAAGGTAGGTAGTATGCATGAGTTTTATGTTGTTCTCATGGATTATTCTGTTTGCTAAGTTCATTATGTTATTTGTTTCCTGATAGTACTTCGAAAAGGTTTCTGAACGTATAAAGGACACGGGTGTAAGTGTACGCAAGCGGGCAATCAAAATTATTAGAGATTTATGCACTTCTAATGCTAGTTTTCCCGAAGCAACAAATGCTTTTATAGAGATGATCTCTCGTATCACAGATGAAGAATCCAGTGTGCAAGTGAGTTTTTTATCATCGCTCCCAATGTTTTATATAGTCTGAAAATTTGCTAAAGATATCGCTGAATTTTGCATTCTTTACATTATTCTAGGTCCAGCTGAATTTAACATATACTTTAATACGCAAGTTATCCATACCACTGAATTTATTTTGTTTTTCAAATAGAGCCATGAAAGTAACTCTACTATGTACTGTTCTTTTAAAACTTCAATAATCAGAATCTGTAATTAAAATATCATTTAAATTTATGAAATGATTATAATGGTATTACCAGAGCGATAGGTTAACTAAAAGCATCACAACTGCTCAATGCATGAGGCTGCAGTTGCCATCCATTGCATTCTTTTGAGATTTAGACATTGACTATCTTATTATATTGTGATAATGAGCTGGCTTGATCCTTGTAAGAAGTGCAACTTGGTTGATACTTGCTCAAGCCTGTTGCTGTGAATGCTTATTGACAGTTTATCATGCAAAGAAGTCTGAATAAATCATTCATATTGATTTGTTTTTTTGTTTTTATGCAGAAATCACAGGCATGCTTGGACAGCTTAAAATTATTATCACACTCTTTATTAAAACTAGTAGAAAAGATAATGTAATTGGAAAACCTACTCTTAACTTCGAAAAGATACATCTCTTTCATTTTTTTTGACAATAAAATGGGTGTGGCTATTAAATTACCTTTGCATATAATGCATTTGACTTCCTATGACGTTCATTCCAAAAACAGTAGGTTGATGGGATGCAGCTAGATACATTTGGGTGGAAGAACATGTACTTCGCAATTTTCATTCAAGAATTTTGGATCTAATTGATGTTTTTTTAATATGTTAGTATTACATATAGAAGAGATTTAAACCTTTTGAGTTTCTCAACTACGATTCAAAAAGCTCTATGAAGCTAAAATGTCATTCAAGTATATGTCTAGAAGATGATTAAATTATTTTTTGTTCTAGAAAACACATTGGTGAGATTGTAATTTACAAAGGGATGAGTAAATATGTACCCTCTATTATAATTTTATTTTTAAATTATCTATGCTCCGGTCTTTTGGATGATTGATTCAAGCTAAGATATATCACTGCTAAGTTTTTTTGGGCCTTCCTACAATTTTGACCAATAATTTCTAATTTTTTCCTTTAAAATTACATCTCATATGCTCATTTTTCATTCTAGTAATTTTAAATATTTTATTTTCTTACATTTGTTTTTCTTTTGCTCTATTTTTCTCTTATTTCAACATGTACCACACACTTCTCATGTATTTGCATTTGTAAAACTTAATTTTTGTTAATTAGTTGTGTAACATTTTACTGTCTCAATCACATTAAAACACATATGAAAGAGAGTATTTCACTTTATAAAAGTTAGTGTTAGTTGCATTTTTGATGTGGTTAGAGATCTGGGTATTTAATAAGTATTAAACTTTACGTGTTACATATCTATAGGCACAAGTATTGTGTGGTTTGTATGTAGATTCCCCTTTCGACGGATGTCTCATTTATTAGAGCAATGTCATGCAAATATCATTCAAACGTTTATCTTTTTTTCAATATCCTCGAACATACATAGAAATACTAATAGATGTGAATGCCAAGTTTTTTTTTTTTTTTTTTTTTTCAATCATTCGATATTCTCATAGCCTTTAAGATTTCACTAGGAAGATCTAACCAAAATATGACAACTGTCCAAATTTTAGTGCTGATCTCAACTGGTCATAAAGCTTAATCTTTATATATTTTAAATTGTTAATTGAAACTTAATTTTTTTGCATCAGTTTATTGTATTCTTTATGATTTATTTCATGATGCTCTCATGAAATTATTTTTTCAAACTCTCATTTGATCATTTCTCTAAATAGTATTTTGTTAATTTCTTCACCCTATTACTATTAAGATTAAGCTATCTTTAAATTTATGTCATATAATTATATTAGATAGTTTTCATCATCGTTTAAAATGCACAATAAGAGGTGCTCCTATATGTCCAACTTGAGGCATGCTTTAGAGTTTTTTTTTTCTTTTAATTGCGGGAGGCCTAGCCTTATTGGGTGAGGTTGAGGCGCGCCTCATTTTGAAAACACCTCAAAATTATGTGACTATCCATAAATTTTTTAAATAAAACTAAAAATAAAATCAATATACTTTATTTACTCTCACTTCTCACACATTTTAAAATAATAATAAATAAACGAAAAATATATCTATAAAAATTTATGAAGTTGAAGTTTTAATTTTTCAGCATATTTATTGTTTTAATTAATATTTTTTTAACGATTATTTACTAGAAAAATGAAGATAATTGAGTTTAAATATAAGGCTGAAAGGGAGTAATATGCACTTTTAAATTTAAAATTCAAATGTCGTTAAACTTGTTATATTCTTAATATTCTTGTGTGTGTGTGGGGAGGGAGGCAATATGAGTAGGAGAGAAATACTTATGTTGAACTTATTTTGATTGTTATGTTTTGATGTTCTTGTTTTTTATGTTTATTTTTTAGCTTTCTTTGGTAGTCTTATTTCTTGATTTGATATTACGATATCAACATGTTACTTCTTATTTTGCAATTTATTATTTTTATACTTTGTTAAAATGCTGTTATAGTTTTTTTTTAAAGTGTTAATATGTTAGAATATTAATATGTTATTTTTCACTCCACACTTTATAGTTTATACAATATTTATTAATTTATAGAATTTTAAAATTTTAGGCTTACGCCTCTCTTTGCAGATGAAAAACGCCTTAGCATCCATTTGCGCAATTTTAACCCCGTGGTTTCCACATCCCTTGTCTTAGTCATTTAGTGTAATTTTGTTTTATCCATGCTTACTGTCTAATTTATTAAATAAATTATGAAAGCTGTAGCTTTTGCTTTGCCTAATATCCCCTCGATAACTTCTAGTTTCTTTATAAATATTTCATGTTTTTGTAACATTATTCTTATTCATTTTCTAAATGCAGATTTAGTTGCCTGTATATTCTTTTGTGCCTTCCCACTCTTTATTAGGCCTCCTTATTAATATATGATCTATTTCTGGACTCTCAAAACTCTTGTGAAAATTTTCTTAATTCAACTTTGTCATCCTACATTTGGTTAAGGATTCCAGTTTTACAGTCTTAACTTTCTTCCTCGAAAGGTTTAAGCGTTAACACCTTATCTTAGGGCAATTTTTCATATTGATATGTTTTTCTTAAAGTAGTTCAAACACACCCATAAATTTCTACTAACCCATGTTATATGGTCCAAGTTTATTTTGGAGTTTGTCCTTACGATTAAATTTCTTTTTTCTTGAAAAGAAATGATAAATTTTTTTTGGTTTGATAGCTACATGTTTAGAATCCGAGTTCTTTCGTATTTCTTAAATTATTTTTTTACTATTCTAAGATCATATCAATCATCATTAACGTCCCAACTATTTTATGATTGTTTTTGATTCCTAATTTTCCTTTCATTTATGTAGAGCATTGCACAAGTTCTTTATCCTATTATCAACAATTTTATTTCATGTTTATTTTTGTTTATTTCTTTTTCTTTATATTAAATTATCTATCTTATGGGTGCTTTTTGTCCCTTAATTGTAATTCTGAAATCAATTAAATCAGTTTTCTTCTATCTTATATTCAGCAAATGCAATACCCCTCGTTCTTTTTATATCATCATTTTTCAGTCTATTTTTCTTAATTTGGTTGCACATTTTATTATAAAACTATATGTTATTGACATTTTATTATAAAATTATATGTTATTGACATATCAAAGTTATCTTAGTCCACATCCATCTATTTTTTTTTATCAAAACCATTTTCTATTTCTTTTCAAGAGCTGAAGCATTGAAATATTTAAATTAATAACAAGCACCTATCATGATTACTATTTTTCTTTGAAAATTTATTTTCTAAATCTCCATCCACCACTATCCCCACTTGGTTCATAGTATTAGATTTTAACATTCTTAATTGCAACAAATAGTAGCCTTTGGTACATATTGAAATTTTTCCTAAACAGTAAATATCTATTCTTTCTTTAATCATTATGTCTTCTTGTTCTCTAGTCTCTCTAGTTAAAATTATCAAATTTTATTTAGAAAAAAACTGATGTTAGTTCATTCCAAGTCAACCTATCCTCACTTTTAAGCACACTTGATTAAACTTTGGCGCTTGCAGGTTATTTTATGCTAGAAGTTATATTAGAAAATAATTTATTCTTGTTAGAAGTTATGAGGATTAGATTTATTTCTTGGATTTGATTTATTTTCTTTCCTATTTTAAATTTTTTTTCTTTGGATTGAATTTATTTCCTTTCCAGTTTTAGGCTTTCCTATTTTATGTAGTTTCATTTTTCTCAAAGTAATTATTATGAATTGATTAATTGGTGATATATGTGTTATATTTTTCTTTTCATGTATTTCTTTTTTGTTGTCTTTCCTATTCTAGGATCCTTATAAGGTTATTTATACCCCTCTTTTATATCATAAAAATAATAACGTTGAATTCTGAAAATCAACAAGGCATCAGAGCCTTGAAACAAACCCTAAAGTTTCCTACCGCTGAAAACTTCCTGTTCGCTGCAGTTGACATTCTTTGTCGTGCTGCAGGCCCTTCCTCCGCTTCATCTTTTTAGTTTTTCCACCAAAAACATCCTCTCCCTGTACGCCCTACCCTCCGGATCCCTCTCCCTTCAAGCCCTAGACATTGGAAACGTCCTTCTTTCCCTGCAGTCTTTTTCAGCCATCGTGGTCTCCTTCCTTCCCTATAGATCTAAGTTGGCAGTCTCCTTCCCTGCATATTTCAGCTGCCGGTAGCTCTTCCTGCACTCTGCCACCATCGGTCTCTCCCCTGCGGGCTGTTCCGCCTCTAGCAATCCCTCCTGCAGGCCTCAAGCTCGCTTAGATCAAACCCTAGCTTCCTCCTACGAGAGAACCTTGACCTTTGATTCAATCTCATGGTTCTTGATATGTTACCAGGACATAACTTTCTATCTAGCAATGTGGGTTACA